TCTGCCCCTCCCCTGCTCATGCTCTGTTTCTCTCTGTCTCTCAATAATAAATAAACATTTAATAAATACGTAAATAAAAATAAAATCAGATTTTATTGCACCTTAGTAGGGAAGGCCATAATTAAAGTGGGTGATATATTTACATGTTATGGCTCCATCACAGTAAACATGACCAAACTATGACATAAAAATATGATTATATTATGCAAGGGCTGTGATCTTGTTTGATCAGCATAGGTAGAATAATTATTCCTTTAAAAATAATCTTTCACATTCATAACTATGAACTACTTTCTCACATCACTTGTCTGTATATAACTTTAAATTTTATAAGCCGACACGAACATTTTCAAGGCCATGGGCTTTCTAAAATAGTTGGGGAAAATTATTTTACTTAGTTTCGTTTAGAAGTTCTATTTAGTCTATCCCAAAAAGAGATTAGACACTCCACTATACTGTACACAGTGTAATAAGATAAAAGTTAATAAGAAGCCAGTTAAACAAGGAGTCTGATAGTAGAGACAGGTCAGTAACAAAGCTCTGAGAAAAAATTCACATCAGATTATCCTACATAAAGCTACTTAACACCACAAGTTCAAAATAGGTCGAAATAACCAAGGCCAAGCAAAACAAAACATTATTTACATATAAATCCATGAGAAAAAGCTTAAAATCCATAAAACACAAAAAATACATTTAATATACTCTTTCCTTAGTAACCTTGATGCAAACACATGACAGGGTAAAATCAGATAAACTGATTATTTAAGAAGCTGAAGTAAGATGACCAGAGGGAAGTCAAGGCAATCAAGGTATGGGCACATTTAAAGGTCTGTCTCAATTCACATAATAAAAGAAGGATGGATGTCCCAAACAAAAGCTTTCAGGATCCTGGAAAAAACCCATCCACACACCCACAGAGCAACACCACTAAAAGGCAAAGACAGTGGTCTCAGAGCACAGGTCTCCACCCTGAAAGTAATAAACAGTGCGTGGCCAAAACCCACACCAGAATCCCGAAGCAAACCAGGATTCGACAAGCAGATCTGGAAGCCACAACAGGCTCTCAGATCTAGAGTCTCCTGCTTTATAGAAATACCTTGAGCATAACTCACCAAGGACTTCCAGGTTATAGGAACTAACAAATCCTACTTTACATACATCCTGCTCTTCACTTGGGGGAGAATCCACCATTTAGCAACGTAAATGTGATTTTATGTGACTGTCTCATTGAAATAACGACACCAACTGAGAACAATTCATCCAGACGTTCGTCATCAAAATTAGTCATGTAGGGTGTATACTATATTTTCTTTTTACTATCACGATTTCTCAATATCCCCACATTCAACTTGATGACGACATTGGCAGCAATCTACACTTCATTTTAAGCTTGAAGAAAACTGGGTTCTAAGTTTGTAAGCCAGAGGCAGCAACGAAGCATTATTTATGATCCGTGAGGAATAAATGGGCCTCTGAGTCACAAATCACAGCACTATTGAAACTCCCAGCTGGAAGAAACCTTGGGCATAATCGAATCATTCTATAGATGAGGAAGCAGTTACCTGCATAGATAAAACTGAGAGTCTGGCAGGTGGCCCAGCAGTTTAGTAATGAGGACAGGACTGTAACTTGAGTTTCTGAATGAAAACTCTGCTACGATATTCCACTGTAACTCGTCCCTGGCCGTGGTGCACAACACAGGTTAACACCGGGGACATTTTCATATTGTGATCGGCCACAGATGTGCCCAAAGGTCTACCTAGTGGACCTCTAACTCCGAGAAATGCTACTTTTAAGAGCTAATAGATAATGCATTTGGTTTTCTCTGGTAGTAAATTATAGCAACACCATTTGCTTATAGACAATGTTTCAACAACCACAATATATTTTTGAAAAAATGGGAGCAGACAAAAATATTTTCTTCATATGGTAGAATCACAGACTGATCTGAAATAAAATACTGCTGAAGCCAAAACTAAATCATCGGTAAATTTTTCCTCCAAGTTCAGCTTACTTTGAGCCCTAAACTTACAAAGGGATTGCAGAAGTATGGAATGTGGTGCTATGGAATTTAGAGAAAAATGCCAGAAAAGCAATGGTTTAAAATCAATTGTTAAGTGTGTTTTTCTCCTTTAAATCTTTAAAAAAAAAGTTTCTAAGCTGTGAGCATTTCAATTACCATCACACCTATTCTTCTTTTTATTTATTATTATTTTTTAATTTTTTTATGTTTTTATTTATTTTTGAAGGAGAGAGACATAGCATGAGCGGGGGAGGGGCAAAGAGAGAGAGAGGGAGACACAGAATCCAAAGCAGGCTCCAGACTCTGAGCTGTCAGCACAGAGCCCGACGCGGGGCTCGAAGTCACAAACTGTGAGATCATGACCTGAGCTGAAGCCAGACGCTCAACTGGCTGAGCCACCCAGGTCCCCCTACCATCACGCCTATTCTGAAAAGTCTAGCTTCTTACTAAACGATGTGATGAGCTAATTTCTGATGAAACTAGATTTTGGAGCATTTACTTATTTGTTCTGGTTACGTAGCTCTTAAAATTTATTTATTCTTGGGGTGCCTGCGTGGCTCAGTCAGTTGAGTGCCCGAATTCAGCTCAGATCTCACAGTTCGTGGGTTCGAGCCCCGTGTCGGGCTCTGTGCTGACAGCTCGGAGCCTTACAGCCTGCTTTAGATTGTGTCTCCCTTTCTCTCTGCCCCTTCCTTGCTCATGCTCTGTCTCTCTCTGTCTCTCAAAAATAAATAAACATTTTTTAAAAATTTAAAATTTATTTATTCTCGGAGAAAACTTCAAAATTCAAAAGCAAACATGATATAGAATAGTAGAAAATAAATTTTCGTTTAATTCAGACCCCAAACTATTTAATTCTCCCCCTGAGGAAAAAAAAAGCTGATTTTAGTTTCTTGATTCTCCTCCTAAAAGTAAAGTAAGCATTATATGCATATACATTCATTTATTTCACACAATCATGGCAACCTAAATTCTCCTTTTACCCTCTGATATATGTTTTATGGCAACAGACACTAAGTTTCTTTCTCAAACTTTAACCAAATCTGTATGTGCAAGTTAATACAACGTACAATTTGGACACAAATCAGAAATACTGTCCACCATACAAAAGCTGATACAACATCATGTCTTAGTTTCTTCCTCTTTATTTCAAAAAATTATTATCAATACACTACTTTGATACTAGAAGTCTGTCCTCACATATTTTTTCTGATATTAAAATAAAATGCTGCCCTTTGGACAGAAATCATTAAATTTCTAAGGTTTCAGCTACATGTTCCACAAAATGCCTCCACCCCAAGTGAGGATTTGGCGACGCCTTGCAAGACAGTTTTGATCATCTTTACCTGGCCAATAAACAGAGTCGGTATATCCCTGTCCCCGCAGTGCCAAGGTTCTCACAAAACCACCTTTGTTACCCGGCCCAAATCAAATGTACCTCAGAGTTATGCAGTTGCTACTTTCCTGCTCATGAGGATAATATAGGGCCTTTGAAGCTATTAACATCTAGAGACTGACTACACAATATTTATCCAGCTACTCAAGGGAAAAACAGAGGTCAGATAAATGCCACCCGCACCTTCTCACGGTGATGGAAATCCCTGAACACCGGGCATTCTCGGGGGATGTGGACACAGCTTAGGACACTGACTCCTGGACAGTGCACGGACGGACACGTAATTGCGGAATCCTTTCTGAGGGGTGGGGGGAACATTTCCATAAGAGATAAAAAGTATTTTCGGTGATGTGCAGAAGAAGCTTCAAGAAGATGCGATCAGAAAGGGTACTGGAAGTGAAGATTACTTAGGGCTGCTCCATTTTCCTAGATCGGAAAGTCAAGGTTTCTTTCCCAAGTGGCATTTACCAGAAAACTGACTAATGGAACTTTAAGGGATGGTTCATTATAAAAAGTGTGAGGACAACTAGTTACACAATGATAAACTGGCTTCTTTCTTTAAATGTTTCTAAGATAATTTAATCAGCTACAGTAACCTTCTATGATGGGGGCATAATACTTAGAATTTCTAAGTTCATTTGTCTGAAGAATCAATTTGTTATTCCAGGATATGCTGTGTGGTTAGTGCCCCTAGAATACATCTCATGAAATGTGGCTCCCGGCACTTTGGAGCCTGGACTGCACTACAGGATCCTTCTTCAGGCGACTAACGTCTCTCGGCCTACATGCTTCCGCTTTGGTTTTTAGCGGACCATCCGTCAGGTCGACCAACAGATATGTGAGAATCCATTCAGTGCACTGACCAGGGGGAGCCCCCGGTTTATCCTTCCTCAGCTACCACAGACACCCTGACAGCTTCTGTAAACACGACTGGCAGTTGCAAGAAGGAAGCATATTTAGTCTAAAGACTGTTTTCTAACCACAGGGGTCCAGTCCAAGCCGCTGGCAGAATTAGTGAATCCTAGTCCTTCAGACTTTCAGTTCAGCGTTTTAATCATCCTCAGTCACTTGCTTTTCCAGTGTGGAGAGAACAGAGCGAGAAGTAATTAAATAACATTTCTTCCTTCTCTACAGGAAACCAAGATGACAATGGCAATTTGTTAACTTCTGGAAATAAGGGAGCAATTAAGGGAGAAGTAAATCTTTGAGGGTTTTCCTAAATCTCGAACTCCTTTTGCAGCAGCTTATTACCAAAGTGTCAGTGTGCACACTGACTTTATTTGGAACAGTGTGTTAACACATATGTGATACTTAGTAAGTCTGGGGATTAATCGATTGATTAATTACCGGCAGATAGATTTCACTCATATGTGGAATTTAAGAAACAAAACAGATGAGCATATGGGAGGAGAAAAAGAGAGAGAGAGACAGGGAGACAAACCAGAAGAGACTCTTAATGATAGAGAACAAACTGAGGGTTGATGGAGGGAGCTGAGTGGGGGATGGGCTAGATGCGTGATAGGCATTAAGGACAGTACTTGTTGGGATGAGCACTGGGTGTTCCATGGAAGTGATGAGTCACTGGGTTCTACTCCTGAAACCAATATTGCGCTGATGTTAACTGACTGGAATTTAAATAAAAATTTGAAATGGAAAAAGAATTATTATTGGCAAAAAGAATAGTAAGGAGCAAGTCTTCACAGTAGGGCATATTTCAAGACATGATTGATACCGTTATTTGTGGAAACTTAGAGAAGCCGACAATCTACCTCCCGTAAAAATGTTCTAAGAAACAAATGAAACAAATACATAAGAAAGGGCTAATTTTGCTACAGCTAGTCTCTAACTCAGTGATGTAACTATATGCAGACTGTGCTTCTGTTTTATTTGTGACATCAAAACCTGACCCTTGAACTTAATTCTGTGAACAAAAAGTTAAACTTCTCTGCTTGAAACGTGACCTTGGTCATCCATCCAGTGTCCTCTTGAAACGTGACCTTGGTCATCTATCCAGTGTCCTCTAGTGTTGCTCATGCCTTGTTTTGCTTATACAACTTGGCTTTCCATGAAGGCTCATTGTTAGAATATCAGATCAAAGATAATTTAAAAAATACAATAAACAAGTATCAGGAGTTTTGGGGAATAAACACACACAATTACATCCCAATTTATAAAAAGGAAAGACCGTTGGGGAAAAGCAAATGAGTTGTTTAATATTGGATCTTTGCATCTGACGGGATTTAATGGTGATAACCATTCTCTATTACTGAATATATTAGAACAATTTAGAGATGCAGGAAGAGTAATAGTTATAAATCTTGGTATTTTTGACATCTCTATAGCAATATGCTTTTTGTATTTGCTCAAGCAGAGAAGACATTTAGACACTAATTATTACTCTATCTTGGTCCAAGACATGACTATTTTTGAGAATGCTTTATGTATGGGGATTCCCACTGAGAAGCTATCTTTTGAAGCCTACTTCCCATCTTCTACCCCAAATCCATTTTTAAAAAACTGTGCCAAACATTGAAATATTTTCAAGTTCTCATCTCAGATGTAAAATTTTATCTTATATCCATTAAACCAAGGATTCTTGGGGCGCCTGGGTGGCGCAGTCGGTTAAGCGTCCGACTTCAGCCAGGTCACGATCTCGCGGTCCATGAGTTCGAGCCCCGCGTCGGGCTCTGGGCTGATGGCTCAGAGCCTGGAGTCTGTTTCCGATTCTGTGTCTCCCTCTCTCTCTGCCCCTCCCCCGTTCATGCTCTGTCTCTCTCTGTCCCAAAAATAATTAAAAACGTTGAAAAAATTTTAAAAAAAAAACCAAGGATTCTTAAAGGGCTGGTCTGGAGAGCGCTGGCATTCCTTGCCATCCTTTGGAGGGGACTTCAAGGGCAAAATAATTCCATAATATTAATAAGATGATATTTATTTTTCCCACATCCATTTGTTAAAGAGCATAGGGTGACACTTTCCTAAAGATCCACGATGTGTGATCATTTTGTGTAATGAAATATTTCAGTAAATGAAAGAACTCAGTGACTAGTATTTTCCAAATGACTGATGCATGATGTTACAAGATCATGCAGGATAAAAAAAATCCAATCAGATTACAAGATTGGCAACTGCATTTTAACAAAGTGCAATGTAAAATGTTTTTTCTTTGTTTGTTTTAATATGGTTACATATTTCCCATTGCAGTTACGTTTAAGAAGCTGCCACTTGATAAATTTTGGTGCAGTATGTAAAAATAATATTCTCTATTATCCAGAAAGGCTACTAAATATCCCTTTGTCTTCGAATGGCAATCTATGGGTGGCAAAATTTAGCTCATGTATTTCCAGAAAAAGAACATATTGTAAAAGACTGCAGAAGCAGACATGATAATCTGGCTAAAGTAATCATATCTTATTGAAGTATTTTACTTATATTAATAAATAACAGGTTTAGTATTATTATATTTAAGTTAACTATCAAATTATTGTAAAGTGTCACAATTAACATTTTTAACCTAGTTATCAGGATGTTTAGCCCACATAAATAAAAGTTCCACCGGAGTCCCAATAACTTTTAGGAATGAAAAAGAGGTCCTGAGGCTGAAAAGTTTAAGCTACTACTGAAAAGAAACATAACTGTTATGAGAATCAAAGAATTCCACATGTATATATCAGCCTCATTATGTGGCTATTTCTCTTTTACTTAAAAGAGAATTGCCCAAAAGTTTGTGAATTAGTATTTTTTATGTGTTTGGGTCTGTCTCTCAAAAAGATCTTCAAAAATATACCTATATTCCTTATTTGCTTATATATTGTAGAAATTCAGATTTGTAAACCATTAAGCCACATTCAATTTCAATTGTTTTTGAGAGAGAGAGAGAGAATGCGCTGGGGAGGGGCAGAGGGGGAGAGAGAGGGACAGAGAGGAAGACAGAGAGAGAGAATCCCAAGCAGGCTCCGCACTCAGCACAGAGCCTGACACAGGCCTCGATCACAGGATCCTGGGATCATGACCTGAGCCAAAATCAAGAGTCGGGTGCTTAACCAACGGAGCCATCCAGGTGTCCCTCAATTTCAAATTTCACACAGATTTTTATCTCCCTGAGAAGTATGCTTTTTGCCCTTATACATCTGGATAATTATTTACTCTCCATACTAACTGGTTTCTGCAGGCCTCACTCTATGCACATTTCTTCAAACCCTCACCAGTCAAGACCTAAAGAACACGGTGGCAGGTCAAAAAAGTCAGAAACACAACCCACACGTCTGCAAATCATAGAGTTGTTAACTTTTTTACCACTCACCTCTTCTCTATAAATTTTAGAACCTACTGGAGAGAAGCAGCATCAGAGGTAGTAAGTTCTTTTATAGGAATATTTGACGAAATGTCTAGGGATTCATATTTGATATTTAGTGCTTTGTGACTGCAGTTTAAGCCAAAATTTAATATAATCTGCTAGATCACCATTCAGGAGAATAATGACTATAGATTGTGTGTGTGTGTGTGTTTGTGTGTGTGTGTGTGTGTGAATTTGATCACATGGACTGTGTATTTCAATAATTGCCCCCTTGTAATCTTAGGTCAGGTAATGGAGGCCTTATAGAGATTGCTACCAACTATAAATACTCCAGTTTAAAGCGACACTAAAAAGTTGATGGTTGTTCAATGAATATAGATGCACAAATCCTGTGAAGGCAAATTAAACTTCTAAAGAAATATTACACGAATAAAAGCTAAATTAACAAGCTAAGGAACTACTGAGAGTTCTTGAAGGATACAAAGGATATAAATTAAAAGGCTGAGTAAAAGTAGCTTAACATGATTTTAGAGGAAAGAAAGAGGTGAAAAATTCATGAAAATTGGACAAATTTAATAGCCAGAAGCAAGCTCCTTCAAGTAATATTACACTTGTGAATTGGTCAGATGCAAACCTTGTAATTGTGGCTTGTTTTATCTTCAGGAGAAGCCAGGATACAAGTTAACAAAATGTTAACGTTTTGAGCATTGACTCTTACTAGTATTCATTATCTTAGGATCCAAAACACTTGTGCTATATTTGACTGGGAGACTACCAGATACATGAGAAAACTCAGATTTGGACCCCAAATTTCAGTGTCAGCCATTGAATGAGACTCTCTTAAGTCTCCTTAAAATTATGCCCACCTAGGAAAACTTTTATTAAGTGAGAAATAGAATGGTGGACGAAATGAACGACCAAAAAAGGGCCAAATAAACAGAACAGAAATGATCGTTATGTAAGAGTGATAATGATGATTTTTTTAAGCCAAAGTTTCATGGTTCTGTACCAAATTGATAGAGATTTATTTGTGGGAATTGATTTACCCACAAAACCCCTGCTTTACTATTATCAGTATTACAATACATAATAAATTTAATAAATCTTTGAAGATTTCCTAAATATCCTTTTGTGTAAATATGGTGTATCCAGAATACATAAAGATATCTTAAAAATTGACGGTAAAAATCAAAGTGAGCCAAAACCACGAGCAGGTGTTTCACCAGGAAGGACACATACGTGAGAAGAGGTCAGTGCTGCTGGCCATTAGGGAAGGAAGAGTCACCGCCCATCTACTAGAGGTGTCACTGCCCATCCACTAGAAGGGCTGCAAGTAATGGAATAAAAGCGACCCCTGCAAAGCCGAGGAGGCAGAGGAACATGTCCCTCACACACTGCCCGCAGCTGTGTCCCTCTGGAAAACACACTGGCAGCATCTACCAAAATAGACGTGTAACCGCCATGCCACCCAGGAACTGCACTCTCCCGCAATCTCTCCCATACAGTGAAGACTTACGTTCACACAAACACCTGCACACAGGTGTTCACGGAAGCTTTCTCCGCAACATTCAAAATGGATCACCACCCGGGTGCCCTCCCACAGGCGAATGGTTACATGAGCCGGGGCGAAGCCACACCGTGGAGTCTATCCCACAACAGAGAAGAACAGACCACTGATACCGGGAAAAACAGCCCCCTTGACCGAACTGTAGACCCCCAAATTGTTTTCGCAATCTGCCTTCCACCACATCTATTTATCCCAAAGTTGATTTCTGAGCTTATTATATCTTATGTATATTTTATTTACTCTTTGCTAGAGATAAGTAAGATCTGCTCTCAGACCTGGAAGAGTGTATACATTTATACTATTTTCAATAGAAGGTGCTACTGTTAAGAAAGATAATTTAACAAAAGTCTTCTTGGAATTGTAACATTTGACTCTATTGTAAAATGCTTATTCCTAAATACTTTATTCTTTTTGATTCTATCATAGATGAGACTGTACCCCTAATTTCCTTTTCCAATTGTTCGTTGTTGGTGTATAGAAATGCAACTGACTTGTGTATGTTGACTTGTATTCTGTATCTTGACTGAATTTATGTATTACTTCTAACTGTTTTTTTTGGGGGGGGGTTCTAGAATTTTCTACATATAGGATATGCCATCTGCTAAGAGAGGTCATTTTACTCCTTCCTGATTTGGATTCATTTTATCCCTGTTTTCTTGCCTCACTGTTCTGGAGAGGCCGTCCGGTACTACACTGACCAGAGGTAATGAGAGGGGTTATCCTTGTCTTGGTCTTCATACTAGAGGAAAAACTTAAAGTTTTTACCATCAAATAGAATGGTAATTGTGGGCTTGTCACAAACAGCCTTTATTATTTTGCAGTACATTCCTTCTATACCCAGTTTGTAGACCGTTCTTCTCTCCTAAGTCAAATGCCTTTCCTACATCTATTGAGATGATCATGCGAAGTTGATCCTTTACGCCATTTACTGTGGTCCATCACACTGATTTGTAGATGTTAAAATGTCCTTGCATCCCAGGGACAACTTTCAGTCAGTTGTGGTGTTAGGATCCCGTCAAGGTACTGTTACATTCAGTTTGTTAATATTTTATTGATGATTTTTGCATCTACGTTCATCAGGAATGTTGGAATGTACTTTTCTTCTCTTGAAGTATGTTTCTAGTTCGGCATCAGGACAATGCTGGTCACGTAACATGAG